AAAAAAAGGAAATTAGTTTCAACACGTTTTAAAGTAAGGTAAACGAGATGTCAAGAAAAGAACTGGGAAAACATTATTTTCTTATCCGGTTTGAATACATATTTAATTGGGAACACCGGATAATATAATATCCAAAGTTTGTCGAAGAGAGGACGAAAATGGTCTTAAAGTGCACTCGTTGATCGCCCTCTCGACATTCCTGCACCGCATTAATGAAGCAGTATCGTATCCCGAGCATTTCGAGAAACTTTCTGGAAACTCTAATAACTGAAACGGAATTTAATAAAGCACAGTGCGAACGGCGTAATTGACATTTCGCATTCTATTTGCGTACGTCGGCCCGAACATTCGACCCGAATGAACCCTCACTGCAAATTCTCCGTTCCTCTTCCCTTGTTTTATCTTTGTTTTGTCTTTCCCTTGAATTTATCCCTTTTGTCTTTCTCTCTTCCCCTCCACTATAATCGTCAAATTTGATATTGTAGATATGATTCGTTCACTAATATGAATATAATAAATTAAATTAGGAAGAATAATCTGTGAAAAAAATAAAATTTCGCTTCTTTTAAAATAAATAAAAATATGATCACTTTCGTTAGTCAACAGATACGTTGAAATTTTTCTTACTGTTACAGATGACGCAATTCCAAAGGATTTTTAGAAGAAGATGAGGAGTGAATTGTGCGTGATCGAAACATAAATATTGTATTTTTTATTTAGTTTATCTTCAATCTTTTGCAATACTATAATTCTCTTTGCCTATATAAAGGATGTTACTCTACTCGAATCTCAGTAGAATTGAATTCAATGGAAATTATAAATCTAATTGGACAAATCTAATGAAATCTCTGAGTTCCATTGAATTTTTGAATCTCTAATTAGAGATCCAATCGAAATCTTGATGATGTCAAATCCCGTTTGAGCCCGTTCAAACTCTCTTTTGAATCTAGAAAAACTCTCGTGCGACCCTTAAAATCTTTGTTAAAAATGATCTGATACATCATCCATTCATACATATATACATTTGATAGAAACTTTCGAACTTTCGTTTCATCGTGAAAAATATTGAACACGATCTCCATATTTCGAGCAAAGTTTAGCTAACAGTGCGCTTTAAACTTATAAAAAAAGCACGTTCAACTCGAAAATTAAAAAGATCAACCTAAAATCCATAATCAAAAAATTCTCCATCTTTGAACTATTGCAACTTTAAAAGAAATATCACAATCGATCTTGCCTCGGATTGAAGAATAAACTCTTTTTACTTTCTACCTTGAATTCTACCTTGAATATACTTCTTTTTCCCCAAAGTGTTACATCACCAATCAACCCCCTCACCAATCCTTTAATTTCTACCCTCTGTCAAAAACATCAGAAATAGATCCCTTGTAACAAAAGTTATAAATCTGTTCACAGAGACGAGCAAATATCCTCGACTCCCCCGTTTCAAGAACAATTGATCAACCCTTG